CACTTTTGTGTCTTGTGCCAAGCAACATTAATAGGAATTTTAGGGGGAGTGAAGATGCTTTTTTCAGTAAGGAGTTTATATTCAGTAGCATTTTTAAAGATAAAATCACCATTGATTGGGGATGAGGTGTTTTTATGATTGTTATTATTCCTATTTGTTCATGTATACCAAATTATGAAAGGTAATAGACTGTCCCAATTTATGAGATTGTTATTCATAGTGTATTTAAAATTTTTCAGTTGGATTAGCCAGTGATCACCTGAATCTTTGTAGTAGTGATGCCAACCAATCCTTTCCCAAAAGGGCTTAATAGCCTTACAATTTATACAAATGTGAGCAATTGATTCTTCCTCATTATTACTTTTTTTTAATAATGTCCTTAATGTGATTTGGGATTTCAAGAGAAAGATTATAAAAATCCCATTTTTTTCCCAATTAGTAACTCCTTTAGTTTAATAGCTTGTTCACTTTTTTGAAGAGGGCCTTCCACAGTAACTCTAAGGTTTCCTACCCCAGGGATCCAATTAGCTTCCCAAATATTTATGTTAGAGAGGATATGGGGTGACCAAGTGATTCCCTTACTGCATAACTCCCAACCCTTTTTGATGCTTTTTCAAATAAAGGTGTTTTTGTTAATAGCATTATTAGAAGCATAGGTGGAGATTATAAGAGTAGCCCAAGGAGAGGTGGGATTTGTGAGCATTCTTCAAACCATACTAGCCAATATGCAGTGGTTTTTTGAAGTAGCACTATGTATTCCTAGACCACCACTAGGTTTTGGTTGGCATATGGTAGACCAATTTATTAGGTATAATTTTTTCTTTTCATTGGTAGAACCCAGATGAAATTCCTTTGTACCTTGTCAATGTTTTTGAGAATCTTTTTTGGTAGTAAGGTATATTGCATATAGTGGTTAGGAATAGAATTTAAACAAGAGTGTGCCAGTGTAGTTCTGCCGACAATATTTAGAAAATTCATCTTCCAAGCAGCTAGTTGGGATCTCATCTTATCAATTATGAATTGGTAATCTCTTGGCCTAGGAGTGTTATTTAATATAGGCAATCCTAAGTAGGTTCCAAAAAACTCACTTTTCCTAATACCTAGTATATTTGTAATGTCTTTTATGTCAGGTTCAGGACAATTTTTTGAAAACAAAATTTTGTATTTAGCTAGATTAATTTTTGCCCAGAAATTTTACTAAAATAGTCAAGACCATCTTTGATGTAGTAACACGATTTCTTATTGGCTTTAGCCATCAAAGTGAGATCGTCTGCAAATAACAGGTGAAAAATTTTTGGACTCTTCCTGCTAGTAGTTATTGGATCCCATTTCATTAAGTCTACCTGATAATGAATATATCTTGAAAGTATTTCAAGACAAAGTATAAAGATATATGACGAGATGGGATCCCCTTTTCTAATTCCCCTAGTTGGCTCAAAAGAGTTTGTCACAGAGCCATTTAATAGGACAAATATTGAGCTAGCTATAATACAATTTAACAGGAGTTTTGAGAACTTAGGAGGAAATTTAAAGTACTGAAGGGTATAGTGTATAAACGACCATTCAATACGATCAAATGCTTTCTCCAAATCGATTTTTAGCAGCATTTGGCCTTGTTTTCCCTTTAATTTTTTTTAAGTTTGAGACAATTTCTTGGATAATAACAGCATTATCGGAGGCTCTTCTATTTTTCACAAAGCTAGCTTGGAAGGGACTAATAAGGTTATTTAGAAAAGGCTTTAACCTATTTGCTAGTATCTTTTTTATTATTTTATAAATCGTATTACACAAACCAATTGGTCTAAAATTTCTAATGTTATTAGCGTTAGATATTTTGGGTATTAGGCATAGGTAGATATTGTTAATAATAGGGGGGATTACTTGGATGTCGACTATATCTTTACAAAGCTTCACCACAGAAGGACCTATGATATTCCAATACTTTTGGTAAAAGAAAGGATGAAGTCCATCGGGACCCGGGGCTTTAAAAGGATTGAAAGAAAAAATAGCTCTCTTGATTTTAATTTCTTGCAAGGGTCCATCTATTGTAGTAAGATCCACTTGGCCAATATTTGAACTAGTGTTTAGGAGGTTTTTCCTACTAGTTATTACATGGGAGGAGGTAAAAAGTCCTTAAAATAATTGTTAACATAAGACATAATAAGAAGCGGATCATTGATCCAATTACCAACCTCATCCTTAAAAAAATTTATTTTACTACGTCTTCTTCTATTTGTGGCATAAATGTGGAAATATTTTGTGTTGCAGTCACCCTCGTTTAGCCACATGATCCTAGATCTAATCTTCCAGTAATCGTCTTCAATTAAGAGAAGATCATTGTAAGCACTTTTTAATTCTTTTTCCAGATTTGGGAGGAAGCTACTGGTTGCATAGTGGCTCGATATTTGAATACCATTTAGTCGAGCCAATAGCTCACGTTTTTTTCCCAACAAGTCCCCAAACGTACTAGCTTTCCATTTTTTACATAGTGAACAAAATTTTGGCAGTTCCTAAGGTAATTAGGGTCACACCATATTTTTTCTACTAGGGGTTAAAATTCCGGATGATTACACCAATATGTTTCTAGTCTAAAGAGTTGTTTGTGGAGGAGTCGATTTTTAGGAATTAGTTAAACTAATATGGGGTTGTGATCCAAATAAGTCTTAGGTAAATGGATTATAGAGTTATTATTAGGGAATAATTCAATCCATTTATCATTTCCAAAAACCTTATATAACCTTTCCATTATTAATCCCTTTTTTTTATGTCTATGATTGGACCAAGTAAACTTGCAACCCTTGAAACCAAGATCAACGAGATTGCAGTTATTAATTTTTTGACCTAAGAAGTTTTGCCCGTGAATCTTTTATAGGTCTACCACCAAACTTATCACTAGTAGAAAATACATCATTGAAATCCCCTCCCACCATCCAAGGTCCTATATGGTTTCTACTAATTTGCTCTAAGTTATGCCACATAACCTTTCTATTATATAAAACAGTGCTAGCATAAATAGTACTAAAGAGCCACTGTTTACGTATAGGTAATACCTCAATCGTTGCATGGATTTTTTGATTCCTACGAACGAAGTTTTGGACAATCACCACCTCATGGTTGTATAGAAGCATGATACCTCCTGCTTCGCCATCTGATGGAACTTCTACCATTTCTGTGAAGCCAAATTCATTGAGCAATTCCACATGGATTCCTATTCTTGTTTCCAGTAATTCTACCATGCAAGGTCTATGAGTATCGACCATCTCTTTGAAATTCCTCATAAAGTTTTCATTATTCCCACATCTTATATTCCAAATAATGGTATTTGTGGGATGATTCATGGGAATACTAAGATTTTGGTTTAGTGGCTCCCCATTTTCCCTCACAGTCCCCAGAATAGGGTTCCTTCTCAAAGCTGGTACTAATATCATGGCCATGTTCCCCACCGTTGGATCCTGGGGTGGCCTGATGTCCATCGGGCATTTTTTACAATGCTAATAGGCAGTTGAGTACGTGCCTCTTCTCTTGTATCTCCGAAAAGAGAAATACCTTTACCCCGTCTAGGCTTGAGAACTCTAGGATTTGTTCTAAGATTATATTGAGTGGTTCCTCCTCCTCCATTTCTGCCTCTACTGGTTCTTGGTTTTGGGCTTGTTGGTGAGGTGGTGATGGAGGTTGTTGGGGTGGTTGAGGAATGTACTGCTCTTGGACTGGTGGAGGTTTCTTCCAAGGCATGAAGATAGGGTTGAGTTGGGTTAGTGATTCTGGGGAAAAAACGGCATGTCCAGAAGAGCATTTTGAGGATATATGGGGTTGAAGTGAGGGGGTAAGTTTCAATGATTTCTCATTGCATGCACTAGTTGAGGGTTCACTGAGGGAGCTAGGGTTTGTAGAATGTTGTTTAGCCAAACTTGGTTGAGGTAATTATTCATAGCTAGTTTCATGCCCTTCGCTACTAGTTGAGCCAAGTACTGGGTATTGTGAAGTATCACAATTGAGTCCTGGCCATTGATTTGCAGATTGAATGATACTGCATGACCCATTAATTCCATTTTCATCCATGATACTGGTTGATAGTCTTGTGCTTGTGGTAGTTGGACGTAAATTATCTGAAGATTTTTTACTTGTGGTGGGAAGGGTGGAAGGTTATCCATGGCAATTGCTCTGTGTTGCCTTAGGATTTGTATCAATCTGGGATGTCTCCTTATCGATGAAGGGATTCTGGGCATTTTGAGAGGGGATGGAGATATCTAACGTTACTAACTTAGGCGCGTGAGAGGGGCTAGGGGAAGTTTGAGAGGGATTGGGTGGTAGGATGATGATTTGGTGTTCCGCTTGCATGGCTTTTGGTTGCCCAATTCCATGGTTTATAGGTATTTCCTCTATAAGAGTAGTATCCATTGCTTGATTGTTTTGGTTGGACAAATGTAAGCCTTGGCCATCTTTTTTTTGCCATTTGGCTTACATGCTCAGGGAGGGGGAGATTATGAGATCCTAAAGCAAGGATTTTGTCCCGATTTTTGGTTAAGGTAGTATAATTACAAAAGGTATTCTTTTATTAATATTTGGGGTAGTGGAAGTTGTATTAGTAGAAGGGGTACTAAAGTTATTTTCCCTTAATTCATGCATGAGATTATTTTCTCTTTTTGTTGAGTTGGACACGTTAATATCCAACATGGCACAATCCCCATTTGTGTTGGACATTTGTGCCTCTGCATGAGTTTTTTGATTATTAATAAAAAATTTATTATTTTTGATTGTTCCATTAGTTGTTTCTTCTGAAACCATGTGCTCATTTTCAAGAATATTAAAAATATTTTTAATAAGAAGTGGGGTGGTGGTTTTGGCCATGGTTACCGGATTTTTCATCATGGAGTTTACAAAATTTGTTTTTTCAATTTTTGTATCCATTGAAGTAGGGGAATCTTTCAAATCCTTCGATTTGTATTACAGATATTTAGTATCAAGATACTTACCCGTGCTAGCATTGAACATTTTAACAGGGATACCTGGACCTTTGGTGTTGTGAATTGGCTTGGTGGTATTTTGATGAGTGTTCCTTTGTGCTGGCCTCTTTTCCTTATTGAACGAGACTGTTTTCCACTCTTCTTCTTGTTTTTCCAACATTGAGTTAGTTGCCTGTGCTCCAGTTCTTTCTTTAATGGTTTTGGCATCTAATTTGATAAAGGAGCATTTGTTTTTTGTGTGTCCCAACCTACCACAATTTGTACATAGAAAATTATCTCCTTCGTAATGAATGTGTTTTTTCCCTATAGGTACAAAATAGAATAATATTTACCCGCTTTAGCTTGGTTTTCGCATTTTTAAAATGTAGCGAGAGTTTTTTTTATAAAAGTATATACAAATTTGGTCAAAATATTATAACTTGTATATAAACTTTTCGTTGTATAAAATCCAGTCAAAACATACAACTTACATATAACATGCATATAATTTTTTTATCGCATACAAATATAGTTAGTACATACAATATGCATAAAATTTATATACACCTGGTATACAACTTATTTATACAATATTGTTCTTTTCCCTTTTCGAGTTTCAATCTGAAATTCCAACTAAAATTAACTTTAATTTTCAACCAAACTCCCTCAAAATTGAGATATAAGCTCAACAAGATATCACCCATCGTTTCTAACAATACCGAATCCAAACAAATAATAATTTCAGAAAATTCGATTTTTAAATTCAAAACTTCGAAACTTTTTAATGGTTGTACATGGAGTTTATTTAAGTTTGTTATTTTACATATATAGGTAGAAATAAATCAAAAAAATCTTTGGTGTTAGGGTCCACTCATTCTCGGTTGTTACTCAGCTGATGAAAAAATGAAGCAGATGAAGGATTATGAAATTGGTTACGCTTATACTCCCATGCTCGAAAACCCAAGACATCCTTTGTTTTTACTGCGTCGGACTTGAGGCAGTGACAATCGTGAATACAAAGATCTTGGCACCAGTGAGCTTGAGAAGAATCGATGGCAGGAAGGTCGGAGCTTAAGGGATCCAATTTTTGTATCAATTATGTAATTATGTTAGGTAATTAAATGGGAACCACATTATTAGTGGTAATAAAGTTTATAATTAGAGGAAAGAATATGTGACTCATCAAATATTTACATTGTATTTATCATTTGTACCTATGCTTTCAGCAAATTTACTATTCGTAGCTATATAATTTTATAGCAAATCCATAAAATAAGAGATTAATTATTTTGAACTGAAATAAGATAACAACAAGCTTTTGTAGCTTAGTTGGTTAGAGCATCCACTTAGTTAGCAGAGATCTTGAATTTGACTCTCAACAAGAATATTTTATTTTCCTGTATTTTGTATTTCGCTTTTGTTGTATTCGTTACGCGAGTAAATACAATCGATACATGTTGTTTCCTTTGTATACAACTCTATATACAGTTGATAAAAATTTTATCCTTTGTATATACCCTTGTATATACATATTGTATTCGTTGCACAAACGAATATAATTGCGCGAATTAATACAGTTGATACACGTTGTACACTACTAAAAATCCGCGTAAAACCGTCCGAAAAAATTGATTAAAATCGGTCGGTAATGGCCAATTACCGTCCAAAACGTGACCACTTACGTGTGGTCGGTATTATCGACCAACTTCAGTCGGTATGCTCCACGATCGTCTGACAATTTAAATGAATTACCAACCAATATTGGCTGGAATGTTATTTTAATAATTTAATTTTACCGAGCAACGTTGGGCGGTGTTCTAAATTTAATAATTTTTTTTACCGACCAACTTTGGTCGGTAATGAAAAATACATTAATCTACAATATTTTATATACCGACCAACGTTGGTCGGTGTCGCGCCCCATTTTCTCGCGAAAGCGGATTTCGACATGTGACAACTCTTTGAATATGTATTAAAATAGAAGAGTCGCCACCTTACGATTTTTATGGTGCGTTAGGGTACCTATTTGCGAATAACTTTGTTAGACTAGCCCGTGCCACCAAAGAACGGGTAAGAGCTCAAATTACCTCAAAGAGAAGGTGTTACGAACTCTTCAAGGTCCACAACTGTGGTTCTCGGCCGAAGTTTAAACTATGTGGATTGGATAATTAATCTAGGTGATTAAATAAGCAAAGAAAGATATAGAAGTTGAAAGCTCCATTATAACATAAGAATTAACTATATGGCTAACTGATACAAGTCTTAAAAAATCACAAGGAGCATAGTTGTGTTGATTTATTACTTTATGACTAAATGCCAACAACAAGCATATAAAGAAAGGGGAGTCCTAAGTTTTTTTAGCCTAAAGGATCACCTCGTGCAACATAAATAATACTTCGCAACTCCCTTGAAGTAGGGGTTGATCATATCATTCAGCGGGCACAGACTATCATCTCCTGCTACCCAATTACTGTGTTGAAGTTATTACTTAAAGGCGCTCTAATTCGATTCCAAACCGTATCTTAAGCGTGCACTATCCGTCCTATGCCTATGGTCCAGGAGGCTTTGGACCCACTGTTAGGTGGTTTTAGACTTTACTTAGGTTGCTCAAAATGATAAAATAAGGCGACATTCAAAACAGGATGGACTGCACACAATAGCAATGAAAGGCTCAAGTTAACTTCCACACATAAGTACAAAAGCACGCGATTTCTGGTTAGACAGTTTTTAGACGCATTAGAATCATAAGGTCCTATAGGCATGATTTCTATATGATTCTGATTCCAGTATTATACAGGTAGTGCTGCAGTTTCTGGACTAACGTATAGGTGGATTAAAGCGTTATGGGTCCTATAAGCATGATTTCTAATTTCTTTGCGTAGTAAGATAATGAAAACAATCCCAGAACTTTGAATTACTAGTGCTAATATTATAGATGTGCGTCTTACGCAGGTGATAATATCCTATAAATATAATTTCTAATAGTTGCATAATAAGGCAGTGAAGTAGCTTGAAAACCTAGGATAACAGTGTTGATCTCACAAACAGTTTCTTATGCGAATGATAACATCCTATAGGCAGGATTTCTAACAATTGACAATTAGACTTAGTTTATAATGCTTTATCCCTATAAGCACGTTATCTAAGCAAGGTAGTATAAAAGTAACAGAAAGCAGGTGATCGATTATTTAAAACCTTATAGTCATGATGTCTAGATAAGTGAAGGCATATATTATAGTATCCTATAGGTATGCTATCTAAAGCGATGAGTGGTAGACATGGAACAAATGTAGCAATATATTTTGACAAGTTGAGTGAAGTGTGTGCATGATTCTATAGGCATGATTTCTATTAGTGCGCAACACACTAAACGATATAACAAATAAGACATGTTGAACTAAATAGCAAATAGAACACATAGACCCTATAGGCATGTTTTCTATCCATTCATGCCCAACCCCCTATTTATTAATTTCCCCATCATTCGTTATTACAAGTTATTATAGATCATATTGAATGATTATAGGCCCAAATACAAATACAAAATAACCCAGTAATACATCTGGTCCTTCAAACATGCTTAGAACTTCATATGGACTGCAGGCCCAATCTCCAAATATGGTCAATGCATTTTAGACTTCCAGTACCACAACATGTCCAACATACCAGGCCCAAACAAATAACTTACTTACCCAAATGGATGCCAAATTCAGCCATACAGGTGACAAACTATTTATAGAATTTAACTAGATAACTTAAACACTTAATTCTTAAAGCTATAGCTAACAACATCTCTAGTTAAGACATGTAAGTAGGACCAAGCTAGATTGAAGGCACACAAGACATATATGAGGCAAGTTGAGGCTTGTAACTTCAGAAAGAAAGATTAAAAGTGACAGGATTGACCACTATAGGATAATGAACCATTCCAAAGAGAGTTTCAAAATAAGGCATGATCCAAAATTAGCCTAAATGACTTTAGACATAAGAGTTTTGACATGAAGGTCTAGTAGAATCAAGGACAGGAACAAGTGAAATAGCAGTCTTCGCATAGAAACTCTAACATGAGAGCCTAGTGAGCATGACAAATAGGCTAGTGGGCATAGTCTACAATGGTTGACAAGAAATCACCTAGTTGAACATGGAAAAACTTAACATGCTGAGCATCATGCATAATACCAAAGTTTAGAAACATTACCAAGATTAACAGGATAGGTAGGCATCAAGGCCTAGACCAGTTAAACATATATAGAAGAAAAGTCTATGTACTGAAGTCTTAGGCAGTATTTTAGAAACACGGACGTGAACAAATCAGGAGCATACATTATACTTTACAAATAGCAAGAAAACATGTCATGCTGGTTCAGAAGTTCAGGAAACTGGCATTTAGAAATTACATGTATAGATCAACCATACAGAAGTTAACAAGTTGTACAAGAATGACTCAATAGGAAATAATATATTAGCACAAATTCTAGGCATGAATTAATCTATCACAAGAATTTAAAACAAGCAGGGAGATGAACTCCTGACATGAAGAAGGATAACATTCAACTATACACAAACACACTAAGCTAAGCCGGCTTAAGACAGTCAGAGGTCATAGGCGTACATCAAAATTTAGAGCTTTACGAAATTTCTAATGCAAGGAAACATAAGGCTATAGGATAACTTCAAAGCAAAGAGGACCACAAACAGAGACAATATAGTAGTATATTGGTTCATCGAAGCTTAAGCGACATAGATATACAGAGCATGAACATAAGCACAAGAAAATAAAATTGCGAGAGTCAAAGGCACTTACAGTTACAAATTAATGAACAAGCAACTTAGAAGAGCAATTTCCGACAGTAATTCAATTAATAGTAGCAAAGCGCAGCAGAATCCCCAAAATCCCAGTGCGTCAGAGTTCCCAAGGGTTTCGAGTGAACCCCGGACTATGCTCGCACTGAAGAGAACATAGTTAAATTCTAATGGCCTTGGCTTTTAGCCAGTCAATGTCTTAAGTTTTAGAATGTAATGAGTGAGGGTAAGAGAATAATAGTGATTGTTAAGGTTTTTCTAAACAGAATAAGGGGAGGGGTTTATATAGTGTTGAATTACGACGTGGTTATATTTTGGGTCGTGACATGTTGGTATCAGAGCCTAGGTTACATAGGTCTCACGAGTCATGAGCAGGTTTAGTAGAGTCTCACGGATCGGTACAGAGACGTATGTATTTATCCTCGGGAGGCTGCAGAACCTTTAGGAAAAACGTCATATTCTTGAATTCTATCATGGGAATCTGTTGATCCGAGTATTAAACTTCTATTATTCTATTCTCTC